TCACTTTCCATCTCACTTTCCATCTCACTTTCCATCTCACTTTCCTACTCACTTTCCTTGTCTCTTTCCTACTCTCTTTCCTTGTCTCTTTCCTTGTCTCTTTCCTTGTCTCTTTCCTTGTCTCTTTCCTTGTCTCTTTCCTTGTCTCTTTCCTTGTCTCTTTCCTTGTCTCTTTCCTTGTCTCTTTCCTCGTCTCTTTCCTTATCTCTTTCCTTGTCTCGTGTTTCATGTAGGCGTTTGAATAGTTAGTACAATACGATAAAGTATTAAAGTAGCTGAAAAAGATATAAAAGGGAATGGTGGGGAAGTATAGATAATAGATCAGGATGGCATGAAACGTAAGAAAGAAATGAAAGATTGGAAATATTTCATGTAATTTAACGAGGCTGTGAAATATTTCATATTTTTCAGGGACTAGAGTATGCAACCCGCACTCAAACACACAATAATAGAATAAATTCACTATTTTTTACATTTCGCGAAACAGGAGGAGCAACCGGTATTTTTCGATATCTTTCATAAATTTCTGAAATTTCATGAAATATTTCGCCTGAAATTTCAAGATTTTATTTTTCATGCAATTTTGCCACCCTGTAACAGATATATATCTATGAAGTTTTGATACTTGTTCAACCACAACACAATTATCGATTAAAAATAAAATGCATAATATACATTAAAGACGTGTCATTAACTTTCGCAAAAACAGTGGCGCCATCTGCGGTAGGTTTCGACTCGACATCAGCAGGGGCTGCATATTGTAATTGTAGCAAATCAAATAAATTCCGGAAGAAAATAACTTTACTGGAGCGAGTCCTTCTCATCCGTAGATTATGTATTTCTCACAAGTATTCATACTAGAGCTGGAGGTGATATTGTATTTGGGATGCTAAGAAGCGTAGCTTGCTCCGATGAGCAGTCAGGCTAGGATACAGGTAAATAATATATCTCTTTTCTTCCCGTTCTTCTCTCTCTTTTCTTCTTGTTCTTCTCTCTCTTTTCTTCTTGTTTATCGCTCTCTTTTCTTCCTGTTCTTCTCTCGCTTTTCTTCTATATCTTTATTTCTGTCTCGTGTTCTCTGGTAGAATAAACTAGGGGGCTACGCCCCCTGGCCGCTACGTGGCCCAAACCCCGAAGGCGCTCCGCGCCATCAATTGGCCGCTTCGCGGCCCTATCTTTACCCTCCTATCAGTTTTAGTTTTATTTTTCCCCTAAAGAATTACGATATGAGGTATACTTTACTTTTAGAATGAAATAATTTTGGCTTTGGATGAATAAAGAAAAAAAAAAATTTTTGGAGTCAAAAGGACGTCATTTGGAATGACTGCTTGATGAAATATTGCAGTAAAACAACGAACAATGTTATATCAGGTAATAATTAAGGATCATAGAAGTCGGGAGTCGAACCCATACCTTGATGAAAAGGGACGCATCCGATGTCTTAGACGACTCGGCCACCGCTCATCTTGCTGCATCCGGCGCCAAGCTTGTGTTGATAAGCAGAGCTGATGCGCAGGCTACACATCTACTGCGCAACCTCCTCGACCACTGCACATCCTCCCGCGCATAGCGGTAGCATTCCCGGAGCATTCTACAAATTCCCTCACTTTTATAACGTGATTTTAAAAATATCTGGGTCCTACTTCCAAAATCTGATTAAAGCGGGCTCATGTAGGGCCTATTACCTGTCGATTTACGCAAAAATCATGAAAATCGGCCCGGTAGAACGCTGGAACTAAGCGTTACCAGTTACGCAAAATTAGGAGGTCTTGGAGCTTTATGTATGATTTCACTCAACTGATAAAGTATTTCGATGTAAGAGGATGCAAAATCAATGGCAAATCTTGGGACGCCCAGCACTGCGAAAATTCTGGATTTACGTTTAAGAAGGGAGCATTTCAGCCCCGAAACAAAAATCTTATCGCTATGATGGCGTTTGGGCGGGATATCTCGCAAACTTTTCTTCATTTATGAGTAATTACACCAAATGTTTCAATAATTTATCCATTTGAAACTGTTAGATTGCCTTGTTGCCGTTTCAATAATTTTTTAGTCTGGATGACTTTTAATTCATCCGGCTGCAACGGCAAATATGCCGGCTTTTTCATTCGCTGTAGCAACGTATGGAGAATCATAGAGATGAGCTTGTGTAAAAATGGAAAACTAAAATCCGCCCATTCAAAAATGAATGGTAAATATACGTATATTTTACCCAAAAAATCATGATTGAAGGTCCGGGACTCGTCTTCCAACCGCAGAGGAATTGGAGGGCCCGAATCCAGGACTCTTCATCATGAGAAAAATCCCAGAAATATATTACTATAGGAAATCTAAAAACCACTTTTTCAAGGATAATTAAAGTAAACATATGTATATGTCACAGAAAAAAAGAAGAAAATATCAGAATTGCAGGTCCGGGATTCGTCTTCCGTTCGCGGAGGAATCGGAGAGCCCGAATCCAGGACGCTTCATTCACAAGAAAATAATATCTTGATGAGAGAAAATGGACGTATATTTCATATGTTTCTGAGCAAAAATTTAAAAATGAAGAACTTGCATTTAAAATAAACGCGGGGTACTGGCAGTTACATTTTCCAGAGAAAAAACTGAACCCAACAAAAATTTAAGACAAGCTTATCTCCATGATCCTCCAGCCGCTGCTGAAGCGAATGAAAAACCGGCATATTTGCAGTTGCAGCAGGATGAATTAATTCATCCGGAAAAAATTATGAAAACGGCAACAAGACAATTTTACAGTTTCGAATGGATAAATTATTAAAACATTTGGTAAAATTACTCATGAATAAAGGAAATTCTGCAAAATATCCCGCCCAAACGCCATCACTTTGTGGTCAACTCCCTAATGTTGAAGTTTGAAACTTTGCAATGTCGTAACGGGAGAAAAAAAATTCCCTCTGTCATGAAAATTTCAGGAAAGTTGCACTTCAGAGGGGAGGACAAGAGACTAAAAAGTCAGATTAATTCACCGAGAAACGGGCCTATGCCATCGTGCTATCTCCAAACCCTAAATTTTTAAGTTTAAAACTTGGCATCGTTGCAGGAAAAAAAAATTCCTGATCATACAAATTTCAAAATTTACGCATCTCTCACATCGGAGATTAAAATTCAGACCAATCCGAGAAAAAAGGGGCCAATGTTAGAAATTTTTTCGCAAAATTCATAATTGTGAAGCTTGAAACTTCGCAACGTTGCAACGGGAGCAAAAAAATTTTCTTGGTCATGACAATTTCAGGAAAGTCGTACCTTATACCGGAACATAATGTACTAAAAATTCAGGTAAATCCAATAAGAAATGTTGCAGGGGGAATTCAGTTGCCATACGTGAACCTTTTTTCCAAAAAGCCTAAAAAACCCATGAAGTCGCGATTATATCTCCAAGAGCTCCAACAACCTGTTTAGAAATTGGAAATTTCCGTATTTCTATCAAACGGAGCTACGTGCATTATGACGTGAGCCCTAATTTGCACATATTCATATGGGTTTCAGGGCTCATGTCTGAATGCGCATAGTTCCGTTTGATAGAGATACGTCCAATTGTGGTTTTTAGTATCTGAGAGTTCTCTTGACATTCCAGCTCAAATTTTTCGTTCACGACCAACTTTGATCTAAACCCCCTTCAAGAGCACCATGCCGAGTTTGATAGTTTTCGAACCGAGAGATACAATTGGACTGCATTTTGCAATTTGGAACTTTATATTCTAGCCCGGTTTAAAAACAACGCATGTGCCATTAGTATTTCCCTATGCACATACGTGTTTTTTTCAGATGAGCCATAATTTACAGGTCCAAAGTGCAAAATGCAGTCCAATTATAATACTGCCGTGCCAAGGGAAAACGCCGTATGAACCTTCAGGCGTTGCCACATTTCCCCTGATAAAACCCGAATTTCCTATTAAATGCATGAATATTTTTCCTCCGATTGTTTGAACGATTTGGTTCGCAATTTAACCTAAAACCCCTGAAAATTTAAAGGGAAAATATTCGTAACTTTCCTCAAAAATAAAGCTTGTATCGAAGGAAATTTGGCAACTCCCGGATGTTCATACGTCGTTCTTCCGTAGCACGGCACAATAGGCAACGCGGAATGCAGTTAGAGTGATTTTCAGTGGCGTGGCGTGAATTGCGATGTATCGATTGTTATGCCATTTAAACCTATGGTAAAGAATCGATTATTAAGGGGTTCGCTGCGAACATCCTGTTAATCGATCTTTTTCCATAGGTTTAAATGGCATAACAATCGATAAATCGCAATTCACGCCACGCCACTGCTGATTTTACTAAAATCTACCCAAATGGCGATTGCTAGTATCAGTGGTGAGGAAGAATACTGCACCAGCTTGATTTGAAAAACTGAGAGAACAGACAAATGGTCGATTCCTTCGCAATTAATGGACCACTAGACAAGGTACGAATTTAAGCAATCTGATACATGTTTCTTAACCAGAATTTCACGTAAAGCACGATTCGCACAACGAAAATTACTTAAACCAACTCCTAACAAAGATATTAACGTTTTTATTTCACATTGGTTACGAGGAATTTGAACTGCCCGCTCACAAGAAACTCAAAGCTCTACGTGAGTCAAATCGCCCACTACAACGGTTTCTGCAAGCCTCTCAATCGAGCAATGTTCATTTCCCACCATGTGTTGTTCAAACTATTCGCAATTTGCTACAGCTGAGCCAAAGCGTCAAGATTGAGGTTGCCAGATTTTTATATCGCAGAGACTGTCATGATAACGTTTAGCGCGCGATGTGAATCACGTTGAGCATTGAGTTTTCATGAGCGGGTGGTTTGAATTCACGCATCAAGAATCATAAAATATCTTCGTAAGGAGTTAATTTCGGTAATTTTCGTTGTGCGTATCGTGTTTTACGTGAAATTTTGGTTAAGAAACATGTATTAGAATGCTGAAATTTGTACCTTGTCTAGTGGTCCATTCTGAGAGCAGGGAGGAGTTGGAGAGATTTTACCGTGACGAAGCGATGATCCGTAAATTCAGGAACAGCTCTGATGCAATGTGAAAATTCGCAGTTTTCGTACGCCGCCTTGACGAATGTTGGAGGGACCACAAAATAATTACTGCAAAAAAAAAAAGAAAAGAATGTTTTAATAAATAAATTCAACATAAAACTGTAATTAATATTATAATCATATAGTTCCCAAGGAGCATGGAGCAACGGAATTTTGAAAGAATGGCCAAAGTTAATGGAAAAAATTGAAATTTTTTACCATTTGAATTGCATTATCTTTACATTATTTGATTAATACATTCCCATTGTAAACGATCGAATAGTTCTATGTATAAGACAGTCAGGCGATTTGCAATACAAAAAAGTGCACCTTATCGCGATTTTATTCCAATAAATTTTTAAAAGAGGAGTCCCTTCAGACAGGGGTTAGACAATATACGCATCACAGACAGGGGGGAAATAATCATAAACTGTACATAGGATCTTTAAAACTAATAACATGTAAACTTAGGCCTTCTGGTGATACCCTGTCACGCATCATTCCACCCTGTCATTCAATCAATAAAACATATTTGTTTATCAAAAAAAAAAAAAAAAAAAAAAAAAAAAAAAAAATATACGCATCACTCCAATCTGATAGCAATAACTTTGCAATGTAATCGCAATTTATTGGAACATTTGCTGATTTTATTTTGAAGCACAATTTAATACCGCCCTCCCGCTATTTACCCCTATACATGTTATGAAAATGTGTGTATACGATCCCTACGGCTACAGAAAAATTACATTTTATAGTACCGACCAAAATAATTGTTCATCTGCGAACCACAGATTGTGGCTTTGACTTGTTAATTTAAAATTTAAAAAAAAGAGAAAAATACTGGGCTTTGAAATATGTCTCTGGATTGGTTTTACAGATTTAGGAAAACAACTTGAAACAACTTATTAGCTCGTCTTTTCCATCTCGAGGAAACATACGGACATTTACAACGTATGAATGGTGAAACTATAATAAGAAAGAACACATCGTGTGAGAGGAATCAGGCTTTTACCCTACGCTATTTCAATTGGACTGCTTTTTGCAATTTGGAACTATAAATTTTGGCCCGGTTTAAAAACAACATATGTGCCATTAGTTTCCCTATCCACACAAGTGTTTTTTCAGATGAGGCAGAATTTATAGTTCTAAATTGCAAAATTCTGTCAAATTATGATTCTTACTCCATGCGCGTCTAGGAGAACGTAATTCTATAATGGGCCTGTTGCATGCAAGAGATACAGCCGTGCGAATAGACTTTTCAGAGGTTAAATGACACGAAAATTACGATGGTCACATTAAAAAAGTCTAAAATACACTCCTTACTGCGCATTTTGCGTTGTGAGGAACGCGCTTTTTCAAATTTCCCGCGTCTGAGGGCAGTTTTCTAACGGGAACAATTAACGGCAACTCGCGGCTATTTCCGGTCAACTAAAACTGACAACATAACCTAAAAATCGGAGCTCGTGATATCGTGAAATGAAATGTAGAAGGATTGCGTTGGATATTTAAAAGTTGATCGATTTGGTTACCGCATAAAGCGTATATGGACCACTATAAGAGATCACGTTGGGTTTGTAAACAAACTGAAGGAAAAAATAACAACAACAACAACGACTCGGCATCTTCCGGAAATCACCGAGCCCGCCGTTTGCTCGTTTCCGGTGATTAGAAAACTGCCCCCAGACGCGGGAAATTTGAAAAAGCGCGTTCCTGACAACGCAAATTGCGCAGTGAGGAGTGTATTTCAGACTTTTTTAATGTGACCATCGTAATTTTCGTGTCATTTAACCTCTAAAAAGTCTATTCGCGCGGCTGTATCTCTTGCATGCAACAGGCCCATTACATGCCCTGCTCATATGCCACAGTCATACCTCAGAAAAATTTAAAAAATGGGCGTTAGATGAACAATGAACATGGGACCGGTTTAAAAGACGCCGCCGTGTGCTCAGGCCAAAATTAAAGTAGATTTCCTTTAAAAGCCTGTTCTTTACGGACACTATAAGCGCTGCCTTAGAAAGGCTAATAAGCCTCCGAAGTTTAAGGTGATTCGATGGACGCCATATTTTGTGTCAGAACGGCATGCGATATATCGCATCAATTGGTTCCACTTTTTCAGCTACTCGTCATTTTTCTCCAATTTTGAGATCGCAATTCTGTTGTCAGGAGACTAAAGCACTCACTTAACAATTTTAACAAAGAAATTCAACGTAATGAAGGCGTGGTTTTTTTTTAGAGAGAAAACATCGCATTCGATACTGATATCGAAACTGCACTCGAATGCGATATTTCCTCTCTGAAAGAACCACGCCTTTTTTACGTTGAATTTCTTTGTAAAAATTGGTAAGTGAGTGCTTTAGTCTCTTGATAACAGAATTGCGATCTCAAAATTGGAGAAAAATGACGAGTGGCTGAAAAAATGGAACCAATTGATGCGATATATCGCATGCCGTTCTGACACAAAATATGGCGTCCATCGAATAACCTTAAAGTGTATCCCAGAAAATAAACACAAACATTTCTATGAATGGTAGGTATGTAATTCTGATTCCGCAACTTTGAACTTCGCGCAAAAAACGATCGTGGAGAGCCTGCAAAACTTTAAGTATACTTCACGCATCGCGCTATCTCGTCGAGCCTACGCTATGGCGCACAGTGGATCGGGTCAATCGGGTTTGAGATTTAAATATGTCTCCATTGGTTTTCTCGTAAAATTTTCCTCCAGGAACACCCCTTCAAATTTAAAATTTGACGAAATGAACATAAAAATTTGCAGTATGAGTCAAAAATTTCATGTCCGACTTCTCTGATTAACTCGATCCACTTTGCGGCAGAACCCGAAGTGTTGTCTCGCTCTCGGCTTTTGCCCCGTCCAACTTTTCTACCTCTGCGTTAAAGTCTTCGAGTCAGCGAAAAAGAGACCAAACTCTATTAAGACCGCGTTCAACAGAAAAGAACCAAGTGTCAAATTTAAATGGGCAATGTAATTCTTTACGAGAGAACGGTTGTGCGGATTCCTTTAAATATTTTAAGGAATTTGTTTCGCACTGTATAAAAAAATTCACCGAAATTTGCACGAAAATTCGCACAATCGTCTATATGAAAAAAATTAAATTGCCCGATTAAATTTGGCAATATACTGGAAAAAAGCACATTGGATCTAGAGCCCAGGCTCTTGAAAACATCGGCTAGAAGAAGTACTCTTGATTCAATCAGAATCTACCTTAAGTCAAGAACCAAGCCTCTTAATTTAAGCGGATTTCGTTTTGATTCAAGCAAAAATCCGATTGAATCAAGAGTATTTTTTCTTGTCAAATGTTTTCAGGAGTCTGGACTCTCACCTTGATCTCATATCGACGGAAAAACTCCCAAAACTTCGTAGCTCGGTTTGCGACGTTGCAGATTTTCTGTCATTCATGATTTTTTAGGTAAAATGCTACGTCAATAAATTATTAAATACATCCGTGACTTTTCTTCTTCGTGAGAGGCAGGTCCAATTGGACTACATTTTGCAATTTGGAACTGTACATTCTAGCACGGATTAAAAACAACGTATGTGCCATTAGTTCCCCTGTGCACATACGTGTTTTTCCAGAAGAGCCACAATTTATAGTTCCAAATTGCAAAATGCAGTCCAATTCGTAGTCTCCCAGACGAAGGAACGTAACTCTATTCCAGGGTTGCCAAAATTGACTAAAAAATTAATTTATTTTACTAAAACGTACCTGAGAAATTGTTAGTCAAAATTTGTCCGGTTTTTGCGTGAAGTCCACGGAATAATCAGTGAAATTTTCAGTTAGAAATGCCCTCAATTTTTCTTGATAATGTCACAATGTGCAATTTGCGAGGAGAGATTTGGCAACATTGAAATGTAGATACGTTCTTTTAGAGGGTGGGGGAGGGGCGAATTGACGGAGAAGAGGAAAGCCAACAGACAGTAGGTAAATACAAGGATTTAGATTCTTTGCACATGCCACATGAAAATTGAAGCAGGGAGAAAAATAATTCGTCAGGGCAAATTAAGAAAATGAAAAAATGTCAGGAAAAATTATGAAAATCAAGGAAATCGGGCACGGGTAAAAAAAATTGGACTACATACCTTCAGCGACTCATAGTTTTGAAACAGGCAAGAAGTGAAGCTGGAAAATCTGAAAAATAAAACAACAAGAAAAAAATAATCGAAATGTATCAAAGGGATGAGAGCCATGATTTACAGTGAAAATTGGGAGTCACATTCTGGAAAAAAGACACATTGGATTTAGAGTCCAGACTCTTAAAAACATCGACAAGAAAAAGTGCTCTTGATTCTATCAGAATCTAGCTTAAATCAAGAACCAAGCCTCTTAATTTAAGCGGATTTCGTTTTGATTCAAGCAAAAATCCGATTGAATCAAGAGTCTTTTTTCTTGTCAATGTTTTCAAGAGTCTGGACTCTAGATCCAATGTGGTTTTTTTCAGTGCATTTTCCGGATGAAAGAAAATAAGTCTATGAGTTGGAAATAGGATTAGGAGCTTTTTAAGTTTAGAATTCGAATATGACCAGTGTGAGCCGATGCAAATTGCGCAGATGGAGTCATGTGGTGGAAATTTTGTCGATAGAAGTAATCACTGTGAGTCTCTTTTAAGAATCGTCTTTAAACAACAGTAAAAAACTAGGTACTCGTAGAGCATGATTTGTGATTTTTGAGGCCAAGTTCATGATGCAGAAACAAGTGACAAAATTCATTTCAATTTTACTCATAGGATACTTCCACTTCTCTCATACCTACATCACCTCTCCGGAATGCGAATTGTAGAAAGAGAAAAAAAAAATTATTTCCACCTGCAATCAATTGTCCTCGGATAAGAAATCAATAAAATAAGTTTTTTGAACTACGATATTTCGACGCATCGGACATTATTTAAAATGCACTAAAAATATGAAGCCGATGTGATTGGTCGGGAGAGGACTTGACAGCAATGATCTGTTGCCAATTTTTCCAGATGACCATCTAGAGCGCGGAATTTTGAGTTTGTAGAGCTGCGATATATTGGCGTGCATGGAAATTTAAGTAATTTTGATCCGAGAATGTTGATAATAAGATATAATTCACTGGGAAAAAAAAAAAAAAAAACACATTGGATCTAGAGTCCAGACTCTTGAAAACATTGACAAGAAAAAAGACTCTTGATTCAATCAGATTTAAGTTTGAATCAAAACGAAATCCGCTTAAATTAAGAGGCTTGGTTCATGATTAAAGCTTAAATCTGATCGAATCAAGAGTATTTTTTCTAATCAATATCTTTAAGAGTCTGGACTCTAGATCCAATGTGTTTTTTTTCTAGTGTTAAAGAGTTTTTTTATATTTATGAAAAAAATATATGAGTTTTTCTGAAAGTTTTTAGCAGTCGTTGGTAGGTAGGAGGGAATATTAAAATTGTGATGCGAAAATTAGTTCTTACCTCACACAATATCCTTATGTAGGGTATCCTTCAGTTCAGTGCGAACTTTCGGCAGACAAAAACTAGCGGAGGGCAGGGTTGTTCAACTAATCACTTTATCACTTACACTCGCGAGAAAATTATTCGCTGAAAGAAATCACTGAAATGAAATACCGAACACAAATAAAACTGATGGTAATGCAATTCGATTACAAGTTTTTCACACACGGACCGGAGATGAATATAATTTCATATCAAAAGTTCAGAATGATCCAGGTTGTTCAACTATTCACTTCATCTTTTTTACTCGCGAGAAAATTATTCGCTGAAAGAAATCGCACTGAAATGAAATACCGAACGCAAGAAAAACTGATGGTAATGCAATTCAGTTACAAGTTTTTCACACGCGGACCGGAGATGAATATAATTTCATATCAAAAGTTCAAAATGATTCTAAGTATGAAATCTTCCGACTTGTTTAACCACTACACTCACACCCTCACGCCACGGATACTCAACTACAACTACCCGATCGGAACTTCCGAGCTCTCGAGTTTTGCGACGTTTTCCTTATTCGTCCCAAAGACGTGGCTTCAATTTCGAAAATTTCCCTTTTTTTTGGGTTTCCCAGGGGAAAGCGGTACATAAACTCAAGAAGGTCGCACCTCTGACGTAAGGGCGTATCTCAATTTTCAGGTGAGCCCTGTATCACATGTAAATCTATGCTTTTTGGGGCTCATTGGGAAATCGAGACACGCCCATACGTCAGAGGGACGACGAAAAGAGAAAGCGTTTCCACAATAACGGCCGGTTGGTTTGCTGATAAAAAAGGATCAAGGGTCGGTCGGGTAGAAAGGGGGGTCGGGGGGGGGGGGGGGGGTCCATCTACCCCTTCCCTCTCTTTCCATCTCCTTCCAACTCACATATTTTTGACCATTTTCATACAGATCAGTGAGAACGCCCTCCTTCCTATTCTCCTTTTCTTTCAACACAGCCAGTTTCGAGTGCTAAGAATTTTATGAACGGTCTCTTAGCAACGTAATTTAATTACGTGACGCACTTTTCCAGAATTTTGCCCTCCCCCCCCACCCCGTTCTTCCTCTTATAAATTTTTTGTGACGTAGGTTCCTATCCTTTAACACGTTAAACGTGCCGCAATGCTCTCCCAGACCCCCCTCCCATCAGGACGCAACGTAATTAATAAACGGCCTCTGAGAGATAGATGAATTTCTCTGATTCACTGTCGCTGGGCCGCTGACTCCATTTAATATGCAACTAGGAACAGCAATTTCTGACTCCGTAAAAACACTTATGTGCACAGGGAAACTAAAGTTATGTACGTTGTTTCTCGAGCCAAAATTTGTAGTTCCTAATCGCAAAATGCAGTCCATTTTCGAAAGGCTCTATGGTTGCACAGCTAGGCTTTAAGTCGGTTCCTCGAAGTAAATGCCTCCGAGAGAAAAACTAAAACCATCAATTCTTGTGATCCAGTTAAACCGTCCCAACGGAAGCAATCTTTGTTATCATTTTCTTAAGGTGTCTCCTCCAGACAGGTGATAGGCGGCTTCACCCTCCTCGCCGCACTGTCACGCCGCGCCGCACAGTGGATCGAGGCAATGGAAGAGGTCGGACGTGAAATTTTTGACAAAAATCGTAAAATTTTACTTTTATCCCATCACAATTGGACGTATTTCTACCAAACGGAACTATGTGCATTATGACGTGAGCCCTGTTATGCATGTATTCTTGTGGGTCTCAGAGCTCACGTCTTAATGCACATAGTTCCGTTTGGCAGAAATACGTCCAATTTTAATGGTTGCTTTTTATGGAAAGTTGGCACCTCTTTGCTCAAGTTGAAACAAAAATAGAAAAATAAAAAATAAAATTAGATTTAATAATTTGCCCAAATAAACCGACCAAAATTAAGATTCAAATAAGTCTTAACTAAACCTAGTCCAAGTCCAAGTCCAAGTCTTAACCTATTTGCTGAACACATTTCTAACCTTTTAAAATCGAAATCATATTTTAAGGGATGCTTTAGGTAGGGGGGGCGGTCGGTGGCGATATAGAACAAAATAGTCTTATGTTGATCTCAAAAATCCGTTCAGAACATATTCACGTTTTACTACGTGACACCCTGTATATGATTTTAAAGTGTCAACATCATTTTCAGCTTCTTCCATCATCATCTACTTGCTCCACGGTTTGAAAGCGCGACCGTCCGTCTTGAGATGAACTATGAGTAGCGTTTTACACTGGAAAAAAAAAGACATTGGATCTACAGTCAAGACTCTTGAAATCATTGACAAGAAAAAATACTCTTGATTCAATCAGATTTAAGCCTAAATCAAAAGGAAATCCGCTCAAATTAAGAGGCTCGGTTCTTGATTTAAGCAAAAATCCGATTGAATCAAGAGTATTTTTTCTTGTCGATGTTTTTAAGAGTCTGGACTCTAGACTCTAGATCCAATGTGTTTTTTTCCCCTGTGTAATCTCCTCGAAGTGGAAGGGCTCGGTCGGTCAATCAATCCGTTTATATCTAAAAGGACTCAAGCGTCAGAAACTTATGAGTCGTTTAGCTTACATATCAAGACTGCCATGAGTTTTTGTCGCTTCGGTGTATTTTTTTTTTTTCATAACGAACGGTTCAATTAAAAAAGATGAAAAATGCGGAACAGTATAGATAATTGTGGTCGAAGTAAGCGCGGAAGAGGATAAGTATTTGCGCTGAGACTTTGACTTAATATTTTTCAGGGACGGCAAGGCCTTTGATCCTTCCTGAAAGGTTAGCCCCAAACTTTGAGAGTAAATTTTCTAAACTCATTTCGAGGGTTAAGTAAGGCCGATTGAATCAGGTCTCATTCTATTAAATAATCATCAGTCAAACCCTTTCAACTTTATAGAGCCGACTTTAAGGATTTTGACACTTACTTTATACTCGTTTCGATTCATAGGAGGTTTAATTAAACAAGAGAACCAGATCGAAAAGAGCCAAAAGTGCGTTTCTCGTTTTAGGAGACCACCTTAAATCAATTTTTTCTACTTGATCTGGGTTAATGGTAAATTCCGATGTCAAAAAAAANAAAAAAAAAAAAAAAAAAAAAAAAAAAAAAAAAAAAAAAAAAAAAAAAAAAAAATCGTGCAAATAGAGATATTATTCTCTATTTTACATTTTTTAAAGTGAAACAGATGGAAAAAAAACCTGTAAAAAGGTAGTGACATGCGTACTCCAGCTTTAAAACCAGCGCAAAATTTTAGAAATTACATGTAAAGATTGTATGAGGAAACCGAATTACCGGAAAAACTCTGAAAAAGAATAAGATCAATCGATCGAATCCCATGAAGAAATTTTGAGTGCCCATAAAGAAAAGTTCTCACTACTTCCTTAATCAGTGAAACGTCTTTACTTGTCGCCGGCGCTGGCATCCATACACTTGTTAAAACTTACATTATCTTTCAGTGAAAGAATTCAAACATGGATCAAAGAGTCGGCAACGCAGCTTGTAAGCTTCGCCGAGTCGGGAAAAAGAATGAAATATAAGGACTACATTTTGCAATTTGGAACTATAAATTCTGGCTCTTCTGGAAAAACACTTATGTGCATAGGGAAACTAATAGCACATACGTCGTTCTTAAACCGGGCTAGAATTTATAGTTCCAAATTGCAAAATGTAGTCCAAATTAAAGTAGTCACATGGTCGGGAACCTAGAGATGCAACATTGCAACAGTTGTTGTGTGTTGGAGAAACATGGAATTGGGAAATCAGGATCTTGGGGTGAGTGGTGAAAAACGGGTAGGGGGAGGTCGTTCGCCTGCATTTCGTCGCTCCCCTGACGTAAGGTCGTATCTCTATTTCCGCATGATCCCAAAGAAGAATGGAGTTTTAATCACAACAAGGCTCACGTGGAAATCGAGATACGCCCTTACGTTAGAGGGGCGACGATTTTTCCGGTGGGGATATGCTTTATACTGCAGTGCCAAGGAAGAACGACGTATGAACATTTGGATTGCATTTTGCAAAAGGAACCAGGAGCATTCCAATGTTGCTAAGATTGTGCAACTTTATTTACCTTGCAAACATAAACTGGACTGCATTTTGCAATTTGGATCTATAAATTCTAGTCCGGTTTAAAAACGAAGTATGTGCCATTAGTTTCTTTATGCGCATAAGTGTTTTTTCAGATGAGTCAGAATTTATAGGTCCAAATTGCAAAATGTAGTCCAACTGATCATCCAAACAAGTTTTATCTTTACTCTCAATAAACTATAAATTCATGAAAAAAATTACCTTCGTGAATTATAATTTTTGGCATGATTTCAGTAATGGTACTACCAAATATGTAAGTTGCACAATCCTAGCAGCATTGGAATGCTTTTGGTTCCTTTTTGCAAAATGCAATCCATTTGAGAGTTGCCAAATTTCCTATATTAAAATGTTTATTTAGGGACGTTATGAATATTTTTTTTTTGAAATTTTCAGGAACTTATGCCGTACTTATGCTCCATTGCTACAAACTATCCAAAAGCGACGAAACGCTCCGTTCCATTTCGTTTCAGTCTTGGCGTAAAGTTTGAAATAAATGCCGATTTTCTTATTCGATTCTTATTGGTCCAATCGCTCCCGGCCAGAAGGAGATTGGACAAATGAGAGTCGAGTACGAAAATCTTTTAATTTTTTTCGGTTGTTCATATGTCGAAGCGGGGCTAAGAGAGCGCGAGGCGTCCTCTGGGGGTTGGGCCGCGTAGTGGCCAGGGGGCATAGCCCCCTAGTGTTTACATATTGAACCCATCGATATCTAATACAATCTCACCTGTTTGATGTATCGAATACGATCTATTGAGATTTTTAATGGATTTAAATGGAGAAAAAACGATGTTGCCAACTTTCAACTAGCGTAGGGAGGCGTTCGAGAAGAGTCAAAAAATGAAAAAAATGGTTGTCATTTGTACCGAGTTTAATAAGACGCGGTCACAAAATGGAAAAAATGAGTTGTGAGCTTTTTGAGGTCAAGCCGACCGGTGTAACTTTTTTCAGTTCAAAATCCGAGATCAAGAATAATTAATATTAAGAGGACGTGAAAGTTTTTGAACTTCGTCCGCAGCATATTAAGTCTTACAGAGGAATAAAACTTCAACCATCTTTATCTCGGCTGAGACTTGATGCAACATTCGGTTAAACTCGGTCTATTCTCTATTATTCGAGGAGAGATAGAACTGTATGGATGTCAATTTTTGGTAAGCGTATTTCTGATTTTTTTTTCAATTTCTGTTTCAGGTGCAAAAAGC